GCATCATACCACGGAACCAAAGAGTGGAACGCCATGCGAAATCGTTCAATGTACTAAGTTTGCTACCAACGGCCCAGACAATAGTCGAATCTATTGTGCTAAATGTACCACACAGTTGATCTTAGAGACTCGCATTCATACAATGGAAGTAAATGTATTCAATGCGGAACTATGGATCCTTAACCTAGATACGGCTATCGTGGATATCCAACATCACACTGCGGGCCATGTGGTAAAACATTAAAGTTGCCATGCGTCAGTAGCATCTTATGTACAGTAAAACTGCCAGATGGATCACTATGTCCGAAATCATATAAAAGTCGTATGAATGGCGAACCTAGATGTGCTCAGCATCTAGCAGAAGCAATGAAACTGAATGCAGAGATCGATGCATTGGCGGATGGACAACTATCGAAGTTAGCGATCAATAAAGAAGAGAAAGAAGAGAAAGAAGAAAAGCCACCATCTACGCGTAGAAGATTATCTAATGAGGAAATCATAAATCGCAGACGATCGCAACATCTATGTACTATACAGGGATGTACGAAGTCGCGCCAATTTGGATATGAATCTGATAGAAAGCGCAAAGTATGCGCCGATCATATAGATCAACTAACTGTTCGTGAGAATGATCCGATTATAAGGTGCATTGCAGCTCGCAAGTGTAAAGAACATAATCGGGTAGCAACATACGGATATACTGAAACAACTCATTGCGACGAATGTAAGTTGCCAGATATGAATCGTTTGACAAAACAATGCGAGCACGAAGGATGTACGAAGAAACCGCGCTTCGGTATTCGTGATCGTAAAACTGGAAAGGGAACCGCAGTTAGATGCTCTGAACATGTTGAGAAAGGAGATGCTGCTGTTGCAGATCAATTATGTCGCTTTCAGAATGACGAAGGACTTTATGTTGGCGATTCTCGTGTACATAAAGGAGTTGCTACGAAAGAAAGATGTTCTAAACACGAACAACCTGGAGACAAATCATTCGGTCGTGATAGTTTAGCTTGTCAAACATGCATTGAACTCAAAGTTGCTAATCCAACTCGTGCTACGTTTGGTTATGAAGACCAAAAAGCAGTATCTTGCGAACTACACAAGATAGCACTTATGACGAATGTTATTAATCCTAGGTGTTCAGTATGTCAAGTTACTTCAACAAATATAATGTACAAGCCTCATTGCGCAAGATGCTTCTTCTATCTGAATCCTGAAGATTCTCGTTTGCGCCAGTATAAGACAAGAGAACATGCATTCATGATTCCATTAAAAGAGTTATATCCAGCTATGATTTTAGATAA